AATGCTGACAGTTCTGTGAAACCCCCTGCTCCAGACCCCCCTGCTCTGGGTTGGGTTCACCCAGAGGCTGGGTGGAAGGAGGCTCTGAAGGAACAAATGAGATTAAAGTGAACTCTGCAAAAGTGCTGGCCAAAACCGGCTCGGTTTGTTTTTCATGATGTCACTTCTATTTTAAAATCCAAGTTACAGAAACCATTTACAGTGGACTTTTAGTTTCCTGTGAGTAAGATATTTCTAAAGAAATAGGAGTACTTCTCTTACTACTAAAAGTAACTTCTGTTACGGTCCCAAGAAACTGTGTGCTTAAGTGCAACAAATTTTGGGGAGGTAAATTTTTGAAAGAGCATTGGAAGCTGGCTGGTTTTAGAATCTGTTGTTTGTTTGGTTTTTACATACACTTTCAGAGAGGAGAAAACAAAAGTCTTTTAAGTTGTAGATAAGAGGTGTGTGAAAGTTTCTTGACAGTCTTTCAGGGTGTGATTCAGGTAATTATAAAATAGTCTGAAAGTAATGTTACTGCTGTCTTCTAATTTCTTTAGTTGTTTGATTTCTCAGGTGGAGGAGTAATGGCAGGATTTTTGTCTTTGTAATGTCCTGGAGCATATATATTAATTGTGGATTTTTCAACTGTTCTTCTTCTTGACAGAGAATTGAAATTTGATTGATTCAAAGTGATAGTTTTGTTTCCACTTCCCTAAATGTTTCTTATGTGACAGTGAAATTGCTGGAGTGAAGAACTTACAGTTACATACCTGAAAAAAGAATATTGGCCCTTTTGACTTTTAACATATATAAGGTTTCCATGGTAAAGCTAAAAAGGATACTTAGAAGAAAACTATCTCTGCTCATCAAGAAAGTACAGAGTATTTGCAAAGCCAAAATTGATGGTTACAGTTTTGCCTATGATTTTGCAGTAAGACATGCCATGAATGTTCACAGTTTAATAACTGCTGCTTCTAAAAGCTAGTAATTTGTTGTGCATGTACTTTTCTCTGCACTGCACTGCTGCAGGGAGTGATGGAGAGCAGAGGTCCAAATGTGTTTAATGGAAGGTGAGGGGGCTTGTTTGATTAGATTAAGGCTTCACCTGGCCCTTTTGCCCTTTTTTGGCAATGAGAATTCCTGACACCATGGTTTAAAACCTGATTTTTAGCATGTTATATACGAGTGTCATGTATGCTGTAGTTTCTTTTGTAGGGGATGTTTCTCAGAGTTGTTAGCAAGCAGTCTGTAGGACAGACATGCTAACCAGTGCTACCATCACAACTTTTTAAAGATGTCTTGTATTAAGTATTTTCATTTTAAATACTTATTTTCATACTTTAAAATATACTTTGGATTGGTATTAGAAAATATGCCCAACTTCTTTACATTTAAATTTAAATGCGTGTGAACATCACAGCTCAGAATTTGAAATGGCCACTTTGATCATATTATAGAAACAAGTGAGACTAAGGGTTATGACCTGCACATTAATTAATGTATTATAAAGGCTGAGTAGTTTTCCAGTATAAAGTAGACCAATGCAGCAAATAAAAGGTAATTAATTCTGGTTGACAGTATTTTACCATGATTCATAGAAAGGAAATATAGCCTGTGTGAACATAATGTATGGTTATGAAGTGCTACTCTCTCTCATGGTAAGAGCAGTATTCTTCTCCGTATAAATACCCATTAAAACTGCACCTTTTAATATTTGAATGCAAATGGACATGCAGAAATGTGGCAAATAGCAGCGCGTTGATGTAGGATTGAGGCAGTGCAGATTGGTCACAAACAGTGCTGTGTAATGGCCTGCAGGAAATGTTTTTCTCTTATGATAGTGTGTAATGGCTTAAACTGTAAAGAAGGGCAAAACATTAAGGCTCTAGGAATTAGAGGTTTGCATGCAGATTGTGTGGCATCTGCTGCACCTATCAGCTAATTGTCCTTCAGCTGCTGTGCACCTGGAGAAACAAATACCAGGAGACTATGAAAACCATAGGAGGTGGCACCCTAGACCACAGAGACACTCCTTTAGTTACTCCTAGAGCACGGCTTTGAAAATGGAGGTGCACTACCCTCTGTTCTCTGCAGCCAGTAACTTGGTTGCTCTTGGCTCTGAGGCCTCTTGCAGATATGTCCAGGCTCTTCTAACATGGTTGGGTTTAGTTCAGAGGATGCCACTGTCCTTTTGACATGATTTACCCTGAAGTTGAGAATTCATCTTGTTTTTTGTTATGTTTGAGAGAACTTTACCTGAGTTGGTAGTTCAGCTTTGGAATTGTGTCATATTGATGTCAACTGTGATTTACAAGTAAGCACTAATGTTTGTAGCAGTAATATTTTTTAAAAGCAAACATCCTGGAAATAGCTGTAAATGTATTCCTCATTCAGGTGTAGAGGTTGGTAGGAACTGAAAATTTACTGTTCTTGCAATGGCAGTTGTTAAAATCAGATTTATTTACAGGTAAACTTAACCAATAGTGTGGATGAACCTTTATATGCTCGTGTCTGTTCAGTGTCTCTGAATTAAAATATCACCAGTATATATATCTGGCTGTAGCTGACAGCCAGAGAGACCTTTCTTGATGTAAACAAGTGAGGTGAAGGAATCCTGTAAACAGGATTCTGTGTTATAGCGTGTGTGTATATATGTATATATATATATATTTTACCCTTTTCTTTCCTTTATTGAAGAGGCAATAACTTTAAAGTGATCAGTTTTTGAAGTGCACTGTCAGTGTAGATTTGAAGTAATGCAGTTAGAACACATGGTGTGAATGTCTGAACTGGAATGTGGGCTGTTGGAGAGCAAATAATGTTTGCTGTGTGTCTGATCTGTGCTGACTGTTTTTCCAGGGCTGAGAAAGGGGTAAAGGGAGACTAATGAGTGTATGGATCTAGCTTTTGCTTCCCAAATACGTTACAGACACTCTTCCTCACTTACAGAGAGTCATTCAAGTTACCTTTTGTGTGTGTGTGCTCAACTTGAAGCAAGAATCTTGGCTGAACAAAAGGAAGGAGAATCCCAGAACATTTTCCAGAAACTTGAGAGAAACCAACTTGTCTGCTTCAACAGCCATTATTAACTTGTTTGTTTTTTTCCAAGCCAAATGCTAAAAAATTGTGACTCTTGGAAAAAAGGTTCCCTGTGCTCTCCCTGTCAGTGAGAAGTACTGTATAGCCTATACATCTTTTGAAGGACCCCAGTTTCCTTGAGGTATTGAGCAGCTGTGCAGTATATTCTGTATTTCTGGAGTGCTGCTACTTAGATGCTGTGTTCCCTAAGCCTTTCATCAAGGCATTTTAATTTTCCTTGGACAGAACAGAATGTTGTTTCAATGGTAGTGCTATAATTAACTTGGAGGCAAACTTCCTTTGTTCCCTCTGTAGGTGATACACAGGGAAATGAGTCAGTAATAACCAATCAGCTTGTTTGTAGGGAAGTTCTAATTTACTGCCCTTGAACAGCAGCAACAACAAAAACATCTTAACTCTTCTTCTGAACGCAACATCTGTAAAAACTGATGGCTTTAAGCTGGACTTGTAAATACTAGGTAGAGTTGGTATCTTCTCCCTGCAGCCTGCCCTGCTCTGTGGGAATTATGGCCTTGGAATTCTTGTCTGGAAAGCTGGGTACTGGCTTTCATCTGAAAATATACATAGCTTAGCTACTGATGGAAAAGGCCACAGCAGGACAGGAGTCTTGTCAGTAAAGAAGCAAGATGTAGACAGCTTCCAAGTGATATCTGTCCGTTGTCGGGTAACAGATAGGTATGAATACTGCATTAAAAAGCTTCCCTTTCAGAGATGTATTTGGAGGTTGAAGATACTTTGTCGTTGGGATGTTTACCCTAACTATGGTTATTTCTTTTAAAATGTATATTTTATTTTTTTTTTTAATAGAGCTGGTTAAGAATAAGACTTGGGTTTTTAAGTGTTTGATTGTCTTGCTGCTGCCCAAGTCATGACGCTCCCATTTCGGAAGGACTTGGACAAGTACAAAGATCTCGATGAGGATGAGATTCTTGGCAAGCTTTCAGAAGAAGAACTGAAACAACTGGAAACTGTTTTGGATGATCTTGACCCTGAGGTAGGTATTGGTCAAGTTTTACTTTTTCATTTGTTCAGAAACTAGTCTGAAATAAATCAAGACTTTTTTTTTTTTCTTAGTATATACTTTTGGACAGAGTTTTTTTCTTAGTCTGCTAATGATCTGATTTACAGATAAATATGTGTATATGTAGTGCTTCAACTGTTTATTTCCTGTTTGCAACATGAATGCAACTGCAGTAGAGGAGAACGGAAAAAGGGATTGTCAAGAGGAACTTTCTGGGATTTATTTATAAATAAAAATTGCTCTTAGTCATGTTCTTGAAAAGAAAGTTTAATTAGACAGAGCTGTTTATCTTTACTGTTTCCAGTGTTCTCTGGTAAAGAGCCCTTTTGCATCCTTTTTTATTTTGTTGCTTCTCCTGTTGGAGTGTGATGGGAAAGGGAAAGTGCTCACCTCTTCTGAATCCCATGTCTGTGCCTGTCCTGGTGCTGACTTTGCAAAGAGGAGGCAAATAGTTACTCAGCTCCTGAATGATTATGTCAGCATGGGGTATTGAAGAAGGAACATCTTAGCTTTTTGTTACAAAAAGCCGAGTTACTAATGATACTGTAGCTAATTCACCAGGACTCATGTTTTCATTTCCTGCATTTCTGTTCTTGCTGTAATAGTACCAGGATTAAGTTTAATTTCGATGTTATGGATCATTTAAGAATATTATGATCACCTCTTTTGTTATGCTGCAAGATATTACTGTTATTTAAATTGGCTTTGGCTTTATAGACATTATAACAGGGGAGAACTGACAAAAGTGACTGGTTGTCATTTGTGTCGGCCTGAATTTCTATATGTCCTGTTCTTTCTATACTAATATTCTCCATTTCTTTCTGCATTTTGTTTTTTGGGTTTTTTTATTTACATGAAATACATTGGTGATGGCAAAAAGCCACCCCACCTTCATTCACATCAGCCGTACTCTGTGTTAAATGCCAGACAATAGTATGGGCAGGTGTTTTAAAGCCTTAGGAACACATGGGTGTAAGTGCTGAAGGAAGCAGTCTCTTGCTGTATGTCTTAACTGGAAGTAGCTGAGTTTCATTTACTACTGCTCATTCAGACAGTGTTCATTTTAGAAAAGACATGCAAAGTAACTAGCAAGTCTAGTGCTGGGAGCTATTGTACTTAAAGAATTGCTTCAGTCCTCTTCAGAGTGCAGTGTGCTCTATTTTTAATTATATCCTTGGTATGTAAGAATAATTGCCTTGTGTCCTCCCCTGCCCCCAAAAAAAGGAAGTTGGCAAGGGATCAAAGATTGCCTAAAGAGGGTGATCTATTGGCTTTGAACCCTGGAGAGGGAGAAGGAAGAGGGAAATGAAACTCAGCAGGTGTTCACTCAGACTTTCCAGGCTGTGCTGATTTGCTCCACCTTGTTTTGCAGAACGAGCTCCTGCCCGCAGGCTTCCGACAGAAAGACCAGACGGCTAAAAAGGCCTCGGGCCCCTTCGACAGGGAACGACTCCTTGCCTATTTGGAGAAGCAGGCTCTTGAGCACAAAGACAGGGAAGACTATGTGCCTTTTACCAGAGAAAAGAAAGGTAACACCACCCTTTCCGGTGTAGGTGGCTAGGAAGTCTCTCAAGTGGACTAGCCAGAACTACTGTGAACCAGAGTGTATTGGAGCGCTGGCAGCTCTAATGCTTTTCAGCTGGTGGCAATTCCAAAAGAGTGCTCTGGGCAGAGGCCAGGGGCTTCCTGCTCAAGCCTTTTGTGGTGCTGTGGTTGGGGAGCTGTTTGCATGTAGCACAGGAAGGAAACAAGACTCAAAGATGAGGATGGTAGCCTCGAAGTAAGAGCTGCTCCTGATTTGTGTCAATAATAGCAAATGCTGTTGTTGTGCCTGTGGCTTTACACCCTCTGGTGCTCAGTGTAGACAGCAACTCTTGTAATACTATATTTAATTTAAAAAACAGACATAGAATGTTGTCATGCTAGGTACTGAATAATGTTCAAAGATTCTGTAGGTTGACAAGGCCAGGCAAGTAGTTTGTTAAATCATATTGTCTTTCTACTATCCTTACTGAGAGGTTTAGTAAAATTGCAGGGTTATTATTAACCTATTACAGAGCTAACATTGCAAGAAGCTCTGAAATCTGGCAGTGGTTTGTGGTCTGAAAACCATGGAAATATTGACCCAATGAGTGGACAAATTATTAAAGCCTGGGATTTTAAATCTTTGCTCTGAATCTAGTCTTCTTGTTGACTTGATGGGTTTTCAGGAGGAAATTTAAAAAGGATGTGTATCTTAAATATCGTAAGAATAGATTTATTCCTCTTTTTCCCACAATACAAGAGTTCCCAAAATTGTTGTGCATTACTAAGCAGTATTGGTATTTAGGGAAATTCCCTGTCCTGTGCTGGGCACATAGGCACAGGAGAAGGCTTTTTAGCTGTGACCACAGGGTTTGTGTGCTTCCTGTGAATCCCAGCTTGTCTGAACCTTCCCCAGCAGCAGGGCAGGTCAAGTGTGTGATAAGTTGTATTCCTGCTGCCCAGGAGGAACAGACTCCTCTCTTCTTAAGGGTTTGAAACCCTTTAATTCTACTTAATTCTCTGGTGTGAATCATTGCTTATTTCAGACGTGAGTCTTCATTCATCTGCTGAGCTTGTATGTAAGATTGTGATTGTGGTGAGTATTCAGTGTAAATTTTGTGGGGGTTTTTGCATTTTCTCTGCCTGTACCAAGTAGCTGTTACTTGACAGTGCTGGTCGTGCTTTTTCTTTTCCTTGATGTAACAGTGGGATTGTGACTTCATAACGTGCTGCACTGTATGTGATATGTTACTTCCTTCATGCGCCAGGTTTTGCCTTATCTGTGCAGTTTAACACCACTTTTGCTGAGAGATCATAACTGTGACACTCCTTTGGTGACAGGAGAACAGGAGTTTGCTGACTGAATTTGTAGGAGCAGCCGAGTTAAGGATAACACAATGCACTGCATGTGGAAGGCAGTTAAAGGTGCCTATAGCAGCAGCACCTTTATGGTACCTTCTCTGCTGGCAAGTTCTTGTTGATCCCACGTTTGGCTGCACAGTGTGATGCTGCTTCCTTCTCTGATCTGCTTCTTGCCTAACACATTAGCTGGTGTATGTTGGGGGCAGCCTAATGGTTTAACATGGTTGAGTTTAGGTATGTTGGGGCCACGTAGCTGGATTAGGGAATCCCTTACAGCCCAGCTAGCTTGTACCCTGCTCCTTCAGGGGTGAGGCTGGGCATGGGGGATTTACTCTTGTTAGAAAGTAAAAAGTAGGAAAGAAAAAAGAAAGTAGAAAAGAAAAAAGAAAGTAGACAAGAAATAGAAAAAATATCAGCAGAAGAAAAGAAAGTAGAAAGGAAAAGCAGAAAATGTTTTTCCCTCCTTTACTCCACTCTTGTGAGATCCCACCTGGAGTTCTCTGTCCAGTTCTGGAGCCCCCAACACAGGAACGACATGGAGCTCTTGGAGTGAATCCAGAGAAGGGCCACAAATATTATCAGAGGGCTGGAGCACCTCTCCTATGAAGACAGTCTGAGAGAGTTGGGGTCGTTTGGCCTGGAGAAGCAAAGGCTCCAGGGAGACTTATAGGGGCCTTCCAGTTCCTGAAGGTCACAGGAAAGCTGTGGAGGGGCTTTTTACAGGGGCTCGTAGTGAGAGGACAAGGTGGAGTGGCCTTAAACTGGAAGAGGGGACATTTAGATTAGACATTAGGAAGAAATTCTTTAGTGTATGAGTGAGGCAGTGGAACAGGCTGCCCACTCCCTGGAAGTGTTCAAGGGCAGGTTGGATGGGACTCTGAGCAGCCTAGTCTAGTGGGAGGTGTCCCTGCCCATGCAGGAGGGCTGGAACTGGATGATCATTAAGGTCCCGTCCAACCGAAACCATTCCGTCTTTCTGTGAGTACTAGTGCTTTATTTAGATAGATAGTTCTTTAGAATCAGCTTATGTGTACATGCACAGGGCAAAACTGTTTGTTTGGGTAGATAAAATCTGTGAGAATCATGCAGGAAAACAGAAGGGTCCAGCTGTAATTCAGATTTTGGTTAAGAAAGATCAAATGTCATTTCCTTTATGTAATGAAGTATTACTAAATAGCAGCCTGTCTGGATGTTGCAATGCATCCTACCACTTTAGCTAGTAAAATTTCCTGTTTCTCTTAAAAAAAAAAAGTTGATATTTAATAACTTTTTAATCATTTGTTTTAGTACCACAGAATAAGAGGAAATAATATTAAAAATGGAATGTGGTTTACTTTAATTAACACTAAAAGGGTGAAAACGAGTGTTTAGTATGGAAATTCATGCTCTGTTAAATGAGCAGGAGGAGGCAGGAAGGCTAAGCTCATTTTGTAGAAGGTGAGGGATAATCTTTTCATTTTCCCTCATCAAAGTGTTATGGTTCAGCTTTGACTTGCTGCTGTGTTTGTAACCATTTTGTACAAAAATTACAAACCTGTGTAACTTAATCTTTTGAATCAAGAAATCATTATCTAGATGTAAAACTTGGAAAGGGTGTGGAGCAAAACTTAAGACTTGTGGAGGGTGTGTTTTTTTTATTCTAGAGAGAGATCTTATCCTAATGTGCTTTTCTTTAATATTAAAAAGGCAACTGAGCTGGCTTATAATTCTTCTCTTTGGCTAGATCAGTGGAGAAACACTAACAAATTGTGAGATAACAGTAGGTGAAAATCTTGCTTGATTATCTTGTGAATTCAGAATAAAACTGACAATCATAACCTTCTGATCTAGAGGTTTTTGGAGGAGAGGGATTAATTGGAATTGTAGCTGTTTTCTTGGTGCCATTTTTGTGGAACAGATTTTGCTAAAATACTTCCGTGTGCTTAGCTGGTCTCCCTACTTTAACTTGATCTAATTATTCATCTCATGGAGTAAGAAAGGGGAGATCTATCCTTCTCATTCTCTTTCCTTTTCCTGTTTTAGTAGAACTGATATCCTGTGATTGGTGATTTGGCCTATGAGTTTATCAAAGAAGCTTACCCTGGGTTTATTTTAAACATCCTGGCTTGCTACTGATTCTGGTGACCTTGTTTCCATTAGGGAAAATCTGTTCTTCCAGTTGCCTTAAGTACCTCCTTTGGGGTAACATCATGTTATTAAAACAATGTTCTGTCTTTTTCACTGGTAGATGATGGGATTTTTCCAAATCTTTGGGACTTTTTTTTTTTTTTCTTTTGCTGTGTGCTATGAAATGTGGAAAATCTGAAATAGTGTCCTGATGTAGTGCTAAAGAAATGTGAAGCTTAACAATCCCTAAATTATATTCTATTGCATTTCCCTGTGCCTGATTTTTATTTCTGAAAACATCCTTTAAAACACACTTTGTTTTTATCACAATTTAATGACTTAAGTCACATTCTGTTCCAATTAAGTATGGAATTACACAGTAAACCATTGTTCAATAGGTTCATGAGAGCAATGTGGTAATAATTGCAACAAATCTAGCTTTGTCCCTGTCTGTGTATGTAAGTCTGTCAGGAAGATTTTACAAGGCATGCTGCACAGAGAAGGATCTGCCCTCTGAACCCTGCAGTCAGGCTTCAGCACTGGGGTCTGTTGGTCTTGAGTGTGTTCCACACATCTGACCCAAGTCTGACCAATGCTCCTCACTCTCTTGGAACAATAAAATATGAGAACTATTGCACCTGAGATAAGCATATCTAGTATCATTTGGGCTGTATAGTGCAAAACATTAGCAAATTATTATGTAAACTAGGCTTTGCATTTCTAGCCTTTGCACTCTCCTAGTCATGACTTGCTCCTCCACTCTCCCTCTGCATTCCTGATGGGGTATGTTTGTTCAGTGTAGTTTTGCATTTCATGTAACTTCTGCTTTAATTTTGTTGTTTAGGTGTTTTTTTTCCCAAATGCTGTGTGCTCTATCACCCAGAAAATATTGTTAGGCTGAAACTGTTGTCACCTGGCTGGGGCTCTTCTGGTGCTGCCCTGCTCAGTTATTGCTCTAGATCAACATTTGCTTCTCTTGCAGCAGGATTTGGGGTGCTGTGTTCTCTGTTTGCCTTTCAAACACTGGTCTTTAAAGGAAGAGTGTTAACCTGTTGTAAAATGAAGCTAATATCCTGCAGTAGCTTTGGAGAAGCAACTTGACAAATTGACGTTCTCCATTCAAAGCCACTAGAAGAAAATAACATCTGATAGTCTAGCCTTAATGTAAAACAGTTTTCTAACTCACTGCTACGTGCTCTGTAATCAGATAATAAATAACATCATGTTTCTACAGTGAGACATGAGGGAGTCACTTGTAAGTTGAATTAAATAATTGAGTATTAAATCGTGCTTACAAGTGAATTGATGAACCTCTCTGTTACATGGTAAGAATTGGTGATCTGCATGTTGTGGCCACTTGCTGCCTGCTAGCCTGAGGGCAGGACTGCAGGATGTGTGAGAGTAGTACCAGCAGTATGCAGGGCATGGTCACCCTGAGCAGACCTGACTTCTGCAAGGTTTTCAGTCCTACCTTAGATGCTGTGACCCTGTGTATGAAGTGCCTGTAGCCCTTCAACAGGCATCATCCAATGCTTCTGCCTTTTGAGCAAAACGATTGTGTGGAACTTGGAATGCAAAGCTCATTCTGTAGTAAAGCAAGCCTGTGAATTAATCCTGAAATGGGCATCATTGAGCATCTTAGCTAAAGGCATAGAAGACCTGGATATATACTTATTACTGAAATAATGTGAACATCTCTGAGATTTACCTCTTTGTGTTGTATTGCTTTGTCTCTGCTGTGCTTGTTGGCTGAAAAGGAGGATGTCATGTTCCTTCACGTGATCAAATCTCAGCTATTTGGAAGTGTTCCACTTGAGGGCTGGGAAAGCCTTTATCTCTTGGGCTGCACAGATGTGTGGTATTTTTAATGTATTTTATTTATTTTTAAAAGCTTACATTAGTAAGGGGGAAAGGGAATTGCAAAACTTTCTTGGCAGCAGGCCTTGAGTTATAGATCATTGTCCCCAGAGACACAGGGGTCTTATCCTTTTTGAAGTAAGTTTTGTCACTAGAAGTTGGGAGTGGGAAGGACCTGCTTTTGTATGTGCGTTGGAAACCTCCGAACTCTGGCCTAGAACAGGATGAAGCCAATGAGTGAGAGATTATATACACAAGGGTGTGACCTGTTTTATAACAAAAACTGCTACTCACCCAGATCATGTGTCTGGCATTGGCTGCAGTGAACATTTCTGGAGGGGAGTGGCTTTTAACATTTTTACTTTTACCAAAACTGAATGTACTCTCTCTCTTTAGGTTGTCCTAAGGGTCAAGGCATGTTTGGATAAATTCAGTCTTGCTCTTAGGAAGCAAATGTTTAGAACCAGAAGTTAAACCTGTGTGTTTAAGAATAAATTAAATAACATCAGGAAAAGGACTTATTTTTGTGAGTACTGTGTGATGAACCAGCCAGGAGGTGGATGTAGGTGTAAATACATTTTTACAAAGCTGCTTTTAATTGAGATCAGTTTCCTCCTCCCTCTCACTGCTGCACTGGTGCTGCCAATGGGGTGACCTGAGGGAAGGCTCCAGTGCTCAAATCGCACTTTCCTGCTGCTTCCTTGTACTCTGAAATCCTCATTCTTTTTACTTGTCAATATTACTGAGGGGAAACACAAACATAGCTAATGAAGGGCTTTAGACTCCATACATGCCATTCAAGGTGTCTCATGGGTTAATGAAAACCTTGTCAAACATTCCTGTATCTCCTCTGAAAATTGCAATTTAAATTGAAAATTCTCTCCCCAGTAGGTGATGCTGGTAAAGTAAAAATTGGGGGTAGAAATGTACTGTATCACTTACATCAAAGTCATCTGAAACATTTACTACCTAATCCTTCAATTTCTGAAGGTTTTCTTTTAATCTTGGATCACCACAAACAGTTTATTTGACACTGTCTGTCAAACCTGAGGTATGGGTGGCAATGCATGTCAGCTGCTTTCAGCTACTGTTTGTAGTCAGTACAGTTATGTAAGGAGATTTATTTTCTGCTTCTAAATATGGATAATGACCATTTATACAGCTTTCCAAAGAGATAGCAACCCAGGAATAAAAATACTTTGTTGCTAGCAACAGATCTTGGTCATCAGACTATGTTGTCAGAGGAAAACCTGATACACTTCTTCATAATCTGTGCTAGTGATAAAGCATTATTTTAACAATAAAAGGAACCACAAACTATTGTAATTGAGGGTGAGAATCCAGAGAAAGATAAAAGATGGATGGGTTTTTTTTATGCCTGTGTCTGCAGTGGGGCACAGGAGCTAACTTCAGACATTGCTTCCCACAGTTGGTGAAACAAAAATCCTGCATTGTTGGAATTTCCCAGAAACTGCACTGAAACATCCCTTCTTGTCACTGGGAGGTATTTAAAAATGCTAAACTTAGGCCAAATGTAACAAGATACACTTGTAAGCAGCATGAAGAAAAAAATCTTAGGCTTCTGGCTTTTGCCCAACTGGTCTGACTTTGGTGCATGGTGGGTTTTCATCATCTAATTGAGATGAGCTAGAATGATTCATGTGGGGAAATGTTTTTTAGCTATGCATATGGAAGAGGGTGGGCTCATGCATTAGCACTGAGACATCATAGGAAGATTATCAGCTGTGCTTCCTACCCCAGGAAATAACTAAAGGAGGCTGGAACCCCTTTCCCACTGCTCCGTCTGCTGATAGCTCAGGCAGCTTGGAAGGTTTGAAAGACTTTGAATAACTGTTAAGATTAAATTCACAGTTCTCTAGTTGTGAATTACTTCTATCAAATGCATCAGTTTTGTTCTCTCTCTCACACAATACCTGAGCTTTTATTTACCAGATTTGTCCTGAACCTAAGCACCCCTCACCTCTCCTGGATTCATTCCCAGTGGTAACCTTCTTTGTTCTGAAAGGCCAGTTCTAAATCATCCAAATCTGAACTCTTTTCAGAATAACTGTTGAATAGCTTTCTCATACCCTTGATTTCTTATCCTAACTTTTCAGCTGAGTATATACAGAGGAGTTATGCTAACTACCCAGGCCTCCATTTATAATGCATAAACTAAGTCTCCTAAACTAACTTTTCCCTTTATGTGTCTGTAATGACTGAAGAGTTGGTACAGAATGATATTACTACTGCTTCTTTTCCTGTTGAATCATCTGTGACCTTTTAAAGTACCATTTTAGAAAAGAGTAATTGGCAGAGAAACCTCTCACCCTGTTTTGTGCTGTTCACAAACCGTGGTTTTCTCAAGCAGCTCAGGCATCTCCTTTTTTACTTCAAGCCTGAGTTAACATCTGAAATCACAAATACCATGTATGCTGTAAAACTGCAGTATTTACTCAGGTCCATGATTTCAGATGATTCTTTGATACTTTATTTCTCTGTCACATTCAGGTTACAGTTCTGCCTAGGTCCCTTTTTTTCTGGAGAGGATAATGCAGTGATACTAGATTTTCTTTATGGGCACTTCAAGGTCTTTTAAAATGTGCAATGGAGGCTTATATTTTACTTTCTAATCCTTTTACTTTCTAATCATAGGAATCTTATATTTTACTTTCTAATCCTAAATAAGATTGGAGTCATGGTACAGACTGCTGAAAAATTGGGATAATTAATGTTATATTCTTACTTATGCTCTTTCCTCATCTCTGACTTAAAAGAACAAGCATAATAAACCCCATTCCTTTCTGTTATACTTGGTACTCTTCTCAGTATTTACTAAATGTACTATGTATTCCTTACATACAGAAAAGTTTAAAAGTAAGTGGCTATATAATACAAAGTAACATCAGAGTTTTTATTTTCTTTACTCCAGGGAAAATATTTATCCCCAAGCAAAAGCCTGTCCAGTCTTACACAGAAGATAAATTCTCTCTTGATCCAGAGCTGGAGGAGGCCTTGACCAGTGCCACAGACACAGAATTAGGTGACCTTGCAGGTTAGTTTTTTGAAGTCTGAATGGGCTGGTGTGTATTTAGATGAGAAAGATCTATATTAATGTAGCAGTGTATTTGTTATCTGAAATGGGACTATAGGGAGTGGTAGCTGTGATAGAAACTAGACCATGCTATAAGCCAGTTTGCTTGTAGTGTATAAACTGTGTTGATCTGTGGTAAGTTTTTAGGAAGGCAGGTTATTTTGGCCTGCAAAAGAGATCTGATTCTCAAACTCAAAACCTTGTTATTTTGTTGTGTATGCTACAATTTTTTCTTGCCTATAAGAAGGTGTTGCTGTGTACCTGTATTCCTAAAGCTTCAGTCCAGAATTTTGTGACTGAACTGCACTTCTAACTTGGATGATTGAACCTGGTGAGGTCAAATCTTTCTAAGATATGAAAGCCAACTAAAAAGTCTACAATTACTTACATTTTTCTACTTTTATTTAAATTATACAGAAATTCAGTGGTTTCCTGTCCTGAAAGCTGGTTATTTTACAAACATCTATTATTATTCAAAGGAACTCTGCATCTGAGCTGAATCAGTCAGGAACAGTAAAATTGATTGTTTGCTCTTTCTTTTTTTTCCTTTTACAGCTATACTGGGCATGTCCAACTTGATAACAAACAATCAGTTCTGTGATGTAGTAGGAAGCAGTAATGGGATTGACAAAGACAGCTTCTCAAGTAAGTGTGTACATAAGTGTTAGATAAATTAGTTCTTTGTACTTCACACAGTTACTGTAGCATTAACCATTTTCTGTTGCCCCAGCATTCTTTATAGACTATTCATCTTGAGTTGGAAATGTGCATGTCTCTAACATTGCTATCTGAGTTCTGGCAAAAGTGGAATTAAAATATATGTAGACTAAAATCTGTTCTGCAGTTAAGTCACTTTTTGAGGCTAAAACTAGGCATAAACTTCCATTTGTGTGTGCTGGTTTCTAGGTTTCATCTCTGTGTTTGTAATTCAACTCCTATGTGCTTTCTCAAAAAAAAAGCTGTTGTGCAAGAAAAGCAGAAGGGCTGTGGGGACCTTTGGAAAAGAACTGAACTTTATTAAAATATGGTTGGGAGAGGATGGGGTGCAGTAAGAAGAGTGTGTCCCATGAGTTGAGGGAGGGTGGTCCTGCTCTGGCAGGGGGGTTGAACTCTGTGATCTCCAGAGGTCCCTTCCAACCCCTAACATTCTATGATTCTGTAAATATTTATTATGTGTATCCTTCACAGTGAATGTCTGTGACTACTTTGATTACAATTCAATGCCTTTCTTTTCAGATATAGTAAAAGGTGAAAAAATGTTGCCTGTTTTTGATGAGCCACCAAATCCCACAAATGTGGAGGAGACACTACAGAGGATTAAAGATAATGATTCTCGTCTTGTTGAAGTCAATCTAAATAACATTAAGGTAATTACCTGAGGTCTGCAGTAAATATGCTGCTTTTTCTCAGAAGAAGACACTGTTAAACTGCAGAACTCTCTAGACAGCCTGATAGGCTTAGTGTGAGTACAGCAGTCTTTCTGCTGAATGTTGCAGTGTGTGTAATCTCAGGAACCTGGAGCTAAACCAGTAAGTCATCTGGGTTTCTTTTGCCAAATGTGTATTTAAAGAGTCTTGGATTTTCTTACTGCCAGTCCAGATTTCTGTTGCTGCCAAGTTGGTGACAGTTCCAGCAGATCACCATGTGGAGTTAACTACTTGTTTGAACACTTTGTCCTTAGTGAATTAATGAGCTCTCAGTTACTGCTATTGCAAACAAAGTAATATTGGTACCTGACATCCTTCTCCTTCTTGTCCAAAAGGTCTGTTGACAATTAGGGCAGCTACTGCTCCTAAGTGTTAACAGTTGTGTTTGTAAACGTGGCTAAAATTTTGGTATATTTACATGAAAGCAGACAGAACAGTAGCACTGCTGACTTACAGTGCAGGCAGCTGTGATGGGCTGCCCAGGCTGCTTCTTGCTCTTAGGAAAGGAAGAAAATAAAATACATGGTTTAAGAATATTGTGCAATAGAGAAATGCCAGCCAAAATACCTGCCTAAAAAGACAACAGACCAAAATTCCTAATAATCTAAGAAATTAGCTATCCTAATTAATGATCTACAATTATTCCTTTTAAGCTTGGTTGCTACTGCATTGTAAAAATTGTCAAACTATAAACTGGAAATTTCTGGAATTATTCTTAATAGAACACACAGATTGAGATGCTAATGGTTTCACCAGTGTAAAGCTCTAAATCTTTTCATATTTGAGAGAGGTTAATTTGATGTTGATAAGTTAGCAGAATGTTCAGTTCATGTACATCTGGTCAGTAACAGTTCCTAGTCAGCTAAATATTTTTAACATTTCTGTTGTGGCAATGGCATCAGTGTAATAGAGATGACTTTGCATTATAAAATTGGCCCTCATAGCCATTGCATCTTACATGCAGCTTTGCTACACCTGTAGGCATTTGTGAGGCTGCTGGAGACCAGTGATAGGTAAAATTGTAGTACACTTTGCTGTAAAGTAATGAAGATGGTAGAAGAATTTGAGGGGGAGGGGATAAACTTGTGTATCTCAAGAGAGTGAAATGCTATTTTTAATTCAAGAACATACCAATTCCAACGCTGAAAGAATTTGCAAAAGCCTTAGAAACCAACAAGCATGTGAAGAGTTTCAGCCTTGCAGCCACCCGAAGCAATGACCCTGTTGCTGTTGTAAGTACTCGTGCTAACGTGCTGGAGATTGTGCAAGGATGGAAAGGGAGTGGCAAGGGATTGAACTGAATCCTGTTTAGATATTTAGGGATAAAATTATTGCATTCTGTTACACTGTAAAGTATGTTTTCTTTACCAAGCCATTGTTGTATCAAAGTTGGCAAATGATTACTAGTTGACTAGTATGCAGCAGTGCACCAGATGTACGAGATAAGTAGAGTTCTTTTTTTCCAGTCCTTTCCCTCAATTTTTCATTTGTCTGACCTCCTTCCTGCTTTTCTTTCTTTTCTAATTGTTTCACTCCCAATGTTTCTTCCACAAGCCAATAGTCTATTCAAAATTAACTTAAAAAAAAGTACATTTGAGGACTGAAAAAAGCTCATAATATTTTTCGAAGAACTAGAGTTTTAGTTGAAGAAAGTTGTAAAATAACCAGTTTCTCTGTCTCCCAGGTACCAAAGATTGGCTTAAAGCACTGGCATATGAAGTGTAATGTTAGCCAAGGTATCTAGTTTGACACAACTGAAAACAGCACTAACTTTTGGCAGAACAATCTTTTGCACTTGTTTTAATTTTAGATCAGAGAGAAAACTAGTTTGAAAGACTCCATTCAGTGAACAAATGCACATTTGAAAGCCTTTTTGTGGGAGGTCAATTAAAAAGTTCCTTTTCAGTAGAAATTACATTTGTAATAAAAACTAATGAAGACTTTTTTTATCATTTTGTTTGGGTTTTTTTGCATTTTGACTTGATAATAAAAAATAATTAGAGGTTGTTTTTATAACAGTAAATCTCAGCAGCTACCTATTCATGTTTTCTCAGAAATAAGGTCAACTGTACACCATTTCCCTAAGAGTGCTTTTAGCTACATGCTGGTACTGTGCTTTGCATTTTACCTCTTCTTATCAGATCTGTAGACAGAAGCATTTGGAAAGTCAGACCTCCTGCTTACAAATTTACCACATCTAATTCTCCTTTCAGTTGACTAACACCCTCTCTTTGGCCTGCATTACTCATCGTGAGCTGTGGAGGCTTACAAGATGGAATATGCTAATTTCAGACCATTTATATTCTCTGTAGCTTTTTTGTTTGTAGAAAGATAAAGACAGGCCTTCTCTTGCCTAAATACTGTAAAAATGGGGATGTAGATAATGCCTGGTTGAAGACTCACTTCAGCCTCAAGTAAGTGAGAACTTGCAAAGTTACATGAGGTGTCTGTGAACTTTTTGCTCCTATTAAATCAGTGGAAATGGTCATCACTGTGTCCTGTGATGTAATGCAGCAAAATTCAAAAGTTTAATGGTGCTTTCTTGCATTTAAAGGCCCTTGCAGATATGCTGAGAGTAAACACAAAATTAAAAAGTTTAAACATAGAATCAAACTTCATCACTGGAGTTGGAATTTTGGCACTGGTCGATGCACTGAAAGACAACGAAACATTGACAGAGATCAAAATTGATAATCAGGTAAGTGAGGTGGTGGTAATATCATAATTAAAATGTTCTACCCTAGTTAACTGAATGTTTTTAGAAGGCAGCTTGTGGTAAACTTCCCAAAATATTTTAAATATCTTAACCCCATGAGTGATTGCCCTTAAAGAGTCTCAGAACTGTCCAGCTGAAGTGGATCCTTAGTCACTTCTGTGCTTGATTGTGCTTTGAAGTGCACAAAATTATGTTATGACCTTCTGCCTTTTAAAGTAATCAAAATGAAGTTACGAGTTTCTTGACTAATAACGATATAAGTATTCTGAGCTCTTTTAGGGTGAATACATGAAGACAACAGAGCTTACATGTACCTTTTATGTTAACAGAGGCAGCAGCTGGGCACACTTGCAGAAGTAGAAATTGCCAAGATGCTTGAAGAAAACACCAAGATCCTCAAATTTGGATACCATTTCACACAACAGGGACCTCGAGCCAGGGCAGCTGCAGCTATCACAAATAATAATGATTTGGGTAAGACCTGTCAGTAGGGAGTGACAATGAAATGGGTGCGTGTGTGGCACGTGTTTTAAAGGTGTCTGCTTCTTCTGCTTTTCTGCTGACATAACCAGGGTAGCAGAATATGAGTCAGATTCAGTTGCAGATTTCTCCTGTGCTTTACTTCTACTCTTCTGTTGCTGCTTGTTGTTCTCCTTTTATTTTGTTGCAGGGTGTTCAGGTGTATGAGTTGAGGATTTTTAGCTTAGTCTAGAACAAGAACATTTGAATTCCACATGTTGTGGCAAAGGGAGGGAAAATAATAGTTATGCTTATTCAGTTTTATTTGGATAAAATTGTTTCCTTAAAAGCAGCACTTGAAATTAGTAGTGCAGGATGCCCTCTTCAATTCCAGTACACCCAGTCTTGTTTGGTTTGCTGGTGCAAGGAAGCTGAGTGTCCTGTCATGTGCAGAGGCTGGGACTGGGTCATCTCTTCCCTTATGGTTCTGTTCCTGCCCAGGTACCTTCTCTGCCTCACTGAAAGGCAGCTGGTAGCACTGGCATCTTTAGCTGCTGGAGTGAGTTCTGCTGGAGCTCAGCTGTTACAAGCCCAACTCAACTGGAGCAGCTGAAAATTGGTTCATAATATGTCGAACTCAACTGGAGCAGCTGAAAATTGGTTCATGTCACCTGTGGGTGTAAAATCTTGTCAAATACTTGAAGCTCTCAACTACAACAAGATAACCTGGTCCCGCTATTTAAGTAGAATTACATTTTTAAGCTCCATTTAATTAAACTATTTTGCTTCAGATGCTTTATGGTGAGGATTGCATGTCTCATCAGCCTGAAGATGGGCCGGAATTACATTTTTAAGCTCCATTTAATTAAACGTTTTTGCTTCAGATGCTTTGTGGTGTTACATGTCTCATCAGTGTGAAAATGGGCCAGGCAGTTGAGTTGTAGTCATTCAGCAGTACATTAGAGGGAATGACATAGGAAATTGTCATTTGATTTAAATATCTGCTGCTTCTCTGAATAAATTTTAAAGTGGAGAACAGCTCTGAAAGAGATGGAAAGTAGAGTAAGAGAGAGAAGAAAGACACTCAGATGTTGCACAAATGTTTCTCAAAATAGATTCTAAACCAGTTATTTTTTCATCATCTCTCTTCAGGTGCCTCTGTTTTCTTTTAAGGTTTCTCTTTTGACTAGTTCTCATTTTAGTGTTTGGCTGATGGAAATCTATGTTTCTATTGATATCTTGCCTTTTTTCTCTTTGCTTTCTTAGTCTGGAGTGTGCGAGTTAAAGTTTCTGCCAATACCTTTTCACCTCTCCAACCCTGAAGCTCCAGAGACAGGTTACTCTGAATTCCCAGCTGGATGCTGAGCACTGAAAGCAGATGTTCAAAGTCTCTCATTTCTGCCTTTGTACGTTTCTTCTAAAAAAATATTCTACATCTTCTTTCTCCCTTGTACTGCTTTTCTTTTCTTTGTCTGAAACTGTGTCCATGTTACTTTTAACTGCATGATTGGAGAAATCTAAGGTTGGCAGCTCTTCCATCTGTTCTTGTGATGTGCTGAATGCAGGTGTGTGCAACTTCTGTCACTGAACTTTGGATTCAAATGGAGATAAGTCAAAGTGAGCAATGCATGGGCTTTGTAAAAAATGAAATTCTTGTGTGATTTTATTCTGGTTATTACTTTAGACCATACTTAAAGCATTTCTTAAGAAAGGAAGAGTGAGGGAAACAAAAGAGCTTTCCCTCTGTCATTTTGAAGGTAAAGGTGAACTCAAATTGTCAAACTACTCAATTGTGACACGACAATTTCCAATGGGAGAAAAGAATCACTTTCTTCTTTTATAGATGTGCTTGCTCCACTTTTTTTAAACAAAATGGAGATGCCCTATATAGTTTCAAAGACCCTTAGCCTAATTTTTTATGTCTGCACAGAAAAAGAAAACACAATTTGATTGGGGAAAAAGAAAATACCAACTAAAATTAATACAAATGTTGTGCAAAACTCCAGTCATTCAGTCAGTCTTGGATGTTCTTAAATCTAAACAGCATGCAAGCTTTTAGTAATTTTATTTAAAAAATGTTGTTGCTCTTGCATTTTCTGACAATTGAGTATTTTTTGTTAATCAATGAAGTGCTTTAGGCTATTGAATGTAACATTGTTTTTTGCAAGTGTATAAATCCTATCAGATATGCTGTGAGATACTTGTACTGTTTCTTTTGAAGCCATGTAAACTTAATTCTCCACCACCAGAAAACTGAAAAAAAAAACAAGCAAAAAGAGTCCTGGGTAAATCTGCTTATACAAACATAAAATGATTGATGTTTCCCACAAGTCTCTCCTCACAAGAATTGGAAGTTGTTCATTAATAACACAATAAGCATTGCTGATGCACAAGTGTTAATTACCTGAAGTTGTGCTGTGTGAAACTTTATGCAGCAAAGTAACTGTTGATGTGAAATACAAAAATGAGCTACAATGATAAAACAGTAAAACGTTTTGTTTCCTCTCATTACAGTTCGCAAGAGAAGGGTTGAAGGAGACAACTAGCAGGTCCTGGTGTCAGACCTGCGTGGAGATTTCAAGGGTTGTCAAGGCATGTTGATCACTGTGGGCTTTGGCATGCCTGGACTGCATTTACCTGGGTTAGAAGGGAAAAGACTGGAAACCCCATTCCTTTTAAAGCAAAGCTCTGTCAGTTATCTGCTGGTAGGCATCAGGTTTTTCAGATTGAGACACAGTAACTGCCCCAGTCTCTGTACCATAGTTCTTGGTGGTTTTTTTAAGAACTTTTTTGTATTTCAAGACTTCGACTGTGTTTTCTACTAAAAATGTAATTACAAATCAGTGGTATGATTGTCTGTAGTCAAAGAATGGGACATTCAATCCTTGGGCTGATAATGACTCAATTGAAATGTTTGTTAGAAAAATCTGGGGGTGCTTATTTACATTGAGGGGTGTATATTACTGAAAACAATGCATTAGTGATAAGGGATTCTTACACACAACAGTTGGGCTCATTGTGTAGAGCTGTTCAGCCTTGTTCATATGCACTGAAGAGAAATCTTTCACAGCTATCTTATTTGTAATTCTGTTTGTAGAATTTTTTATTAGTTCTTGATCCTGTGATTAAGTTCAGGGACATCCCTTTAAACCAAATAAAAATAAATTGGCTAAGGAGTTCTCCCAGGAGATTTAAGGGACTAATAAAAAAGTGGAAGCCTTAAAAAAAAAAAAAAGTAGGAGCCTTTCCAAATGCCTGTTCTTCTATTACTCCAAATCCTTAAAGTCTTTTTCAAAAGATTGCATAGCTGCATCTTGCCCTGTATCTAAACTGGATATGTTTTTAGACTGATTACATGTGTTCATCAACATTATTTAGTCTTTATTCTTTGTTTAAAAATCTTTATCTACATTCATAAGTATAAATTCTTTTAGAAGTAGTGGACATGCATTTGTTAAATTCTGCATAATTCTCTAGAGGAAAAGCAGCCTTAGCTGTAAAACCACTGCCCTAAATTGATGAAAAATGGAAAAATCACTTTTTTCAAGCTGTTGCATTAAGCTATTAGTACTTCATATAAATTTATCATTTTTTAATAAAGCAATGAAGTAACAGTTTCAAGAAATGATTTTTCTAGTCCAGTTATTTCTTGATGTTGAAACAGTACATAAGGCATGCAGAAATTAAGCAATATGCAGTGTCAAATAGTAATAAAGTATTTAAAGTTATTTATCTAAGCAAACTCATAAGTCAACAAGACTCACTTCAACTTCTGTACATCATCACAGTAGAGTACTTTGAAATGATACAAACATCTAGAGGCTTTTTGGTGTAGGTCTGATTGCACTAGAATGGTTTGTTCAATATCATGAGATCATAAACTCACAAAAATGTTCTTAAGGGCTGCTGGGCTATATTCATAGCAACAGAAAATTCAACTGACAACTTTTTTTCTTGAAGGATCATAATACAGTGAGCATCTTATGTATAGAAAACATATTGGACTGAAATGTTTGCATCAGGTTGTATATACTGTAACAATTTCCCAGAGCAACTCTGACACTGTGCCCATGGTGTAATTTGCTGCAAATCTTTTGGATCTTCAAAACTAGACTTTGCTCTGGGGGTGACTTAGAATTGTGCTGCAACTGTACAGACAATTTGAAGCTACAGTGCCTTCAGTGAGGATGTATATAACTGGCCTATACTTGTGGAAGAACATTTGTTTCTCCTATTTCAAAATCAGCTTTTTATTACAACTACAAATAAATGTGTGCTGTGCAAAGCAAGTCAGAATTAATTCTGTTGAAACCAAAGACTATCCATACTGTAACTTTGAAACAAGTAGCAGTGATCTGACTGGTAACAAAATGGGCCTAATTTGGTTTTAACTTTTGTACATTGTCAAGAACTTTTTATATTTTGAAATGTAAGCTCTTTATGCATGAAGTCCTTGGTTAGGTGTCTTTTATTTACAGTCTTGTATCAACCTGGCCAAAGCATCTCATGTGCTGAATTGCCTAAAGCTGTACTGTGCTTTGTATTTGCTGGGCACCATCATCATCTTCTTGTCAGAACACGGGCTGTGGTGTCTTCCTTCATGTGTTGAAGGGCTGCACGTTCATGGGATCTGTTCACGTGTTGTGATTCAAGGATGATTGATTTCCTCATTCTCTCAAGATGAGGCAGTTACCTCCCTCTTGGAGGTGAGGGAGAAAAACTAAATGCTGGATGATGGAAACGATAGCCCAAAGCCCTTCCTTTATTAAATCAAGTTTAGCTGCTTAATGATTTGTATCCCAGGGATGTTTAAGCTGGAACTCCCAGCTGTCCTGTCACAGACTAAAGCACTGGACCTTAGTAACTGGGTTAGCTCTGGGGACAGCAACTCCATCTGTGGCTGCTCGTGGGCACTTCCAGGACAGGTACCTGACAGGCTGGGCACAGAAACCAGAGCCGAGTTCAACCCAGAAGGGTTTGGCCTTCTGAATGGTTGCCAGATCCTTGCCCTGGTGCGCGGAGCAGCCACAGCGATCCCTGCTGCGATCCCTGCTGCGATCCCTGCTGCGATCCCTGCTGCGATCCCTGCTGCGATCCCTGCTGCGATCCCTGCTGCGATCCCTGCTGCGATCCCTGCTGCGATCCCTGCTGCGATCCCTGCTGCGATCCCTGCTGCGATCCCTGCTGCGATCCCTGCTGCGATCCCTGCTGCGATCCCTGCTGCGATCCCTGCTGCGATCCCTGCTGCGATCCCTGCTGCGATCCCTGCTGCGATCCCTGCTGCGATCCCTGCTGCGATCCCTGCTGTTCCCGCAGCCCGGGTCCTGCGGCGCGGG